CACCGTAGTCATAGGGGTGCTAAATCTAAAGGGGGGACACACCGTAGTCATAGGGGTGCTAAATCTAAAGGGGGACACACACCGTAGTCATAGGGGTGCTAAATCTAAAGGGGGGGGGCACCGTAGTCATAGGGGTGCTAAATCTAAAGGGGGGACACACCGTAGTCATAGGGGTGCTAAATCTAAAGGGGGACACACACCGTAGTCATAGGGGTGCTAAATCTAAAGGGGGGGGGCACCGTAGTCATAGGGGTGCTAAATCTAAAGGGGGACACACACCGTAGTCATAGGGGTGCTAAATCTTCTCATGTTTTCTGTGATTTATTTCAGGAAGCCGCAACTCCTTCAAGGCGTGTATGGCATGGGGTTCAACCGGCCCTCTAAGATCCAGGAGAACGCTCTGCCTATGATGCTGGCCGAACCGTAAGTATTGATCGTCAGTCATGGTGGCCAGCATGCCGCGCCTCTTGAGTCCCATAAGGCATTGTAAGACTCTGGTAGCCCCAGGCATGACTCCCCGAGGCAGATGCATGATGGGATTTGTAGTTAAAGCGAAGCTGGCCGGCATTGCCCACCCCCTGCTTTAAAGACTGCCTTAGCCTTCCACGCTCTCATTTAACTTCCTCACGTGTTCATTTTCCCCTTCAGCCCTCAGAACCTGATCGCTCAGTCCCAGTCCGGGACAGGGAAGACGGCTGCCTTTGTCTTGGCCATGTTATCCCGGGTTGATCCTGCAAATAAGTTCCCGCAGGTAAGCGGAGCGGCCGCCCGCACGAGTGTTGCTGTACAGGTGTTTGCTGGCAATGTACTAACATCGGTCGTCTCCTCCTTCAGTGTCTTTGCCTGTCCCCCACCTATGAGCTGGCCCTGCAGACTGGGAAGGTCATCGAGCAGATGGGGAAGTTTCATCCAGATCTAAAGCTGGCCTGTGTTTTTTGTGAACATTAAAGTAGCATTAAGGTCTGGGGGCGTTCTTTACCTTAATGAATTCTCTGCATTGGGGTAAAAAATCAGCCCAGTACTTTTTTTCTACCCCAGCCATAGGCTCCTTCTGCCATCAATCAAAGGAAGGGGCGTGGCCTGCCACAGGGCTGTGTGTGTGTGTCTATGGACGCACACAGCCGATGCGGGAACGGGTGCGCACGGGTGCCTCCGTTAGAACGATGGTGGCACCCGTGCAGTGATTGACTGACTACTTTCCTGCTCCTAGTCTATGACAATCACACCGTGGCCTATCATGTAGTAGGGTTTTATCTCAACGTTTATGCCTAACATAGCCACTAGTGTCGGGTCTGCAAGTCCAATTCCAGTAGTGTTCATATTTGACAAGTGTGTAAAGCCAGATGTTGTATTCTTAGAAAAGGGTACTCGGTG